TTACCATACATCGTATTTGAAGAAATAACTATACCTCTTTCGGTTTCCTCTAGATTTCTACTTAATCCATTTAGTGTTCTTTTTGCAGTATCATGGTGGTCTTTTAAATCTTCGTTTTCTTTTCGCAAGTAGTTTAGTTGTTTGGACAATTCTTTATTCTCTTTGTAAATCAGGTAGCAATCTAAACACGTCCCTTTAAACTCAACCTGCTCTTCATTGCCGATGTTATCACTCATTGCGAAAGAAAAAGAACATGGAATATGAATCAACTTGCAGAAACGCAACATTCAAATACTGTATGATCGCAGTGCTAATTATATGCATGAATACAGTGCATGTCCTTAATAAGGGTGGATTTACTTTAACCAGTGGATATTTCGATAAGGTTTATTGACATGTTCTTGTGTAGTGTATGGATAATTATTTTCGAAGGCAGGCATGGATTTTTCGAATTCAATAATTGAAGTACAGAGTATATGTGCATATATTTGACATTTTCAACAAAGGTGATTCCTATTTAGGAAAACAAGGATATTTGCTTGCACGAAATAAAAGAATGCATATAGTCTATCGGCAAAATTTCCGAATCACGTTATTACACATATAGATACTTGTGCACCTCCCTTGGGAATAAAATGAATCGTGCATATGCACATATAGAGTTAATTTTTTATTGATTAATATTAATAATTTTTTTAAAAAAATTTTATATATATTGCATACCTATTGATATCTCTTATTATCCATTAATAACAAATCCTATTATTAAATCTATTGATATTTATCTATTATTAGTAATTTAGATTTTATATTGTCTCAAAACTTTGAATCAATGAATCAATGGTCAAGTCATGAAATCCAAAGTATCAAGTGTTTTAACAAATTATTAATGTTTTATATCTGAAGGTTTAAATCTTTAATTATTTCAAAATTCTAGTTAACAATATCATTTTAATTTTTAAGAAAAGATATTTGTTTAATTAAAATATTTATAGTTTTTTAAGATTATTTTGAAGACTATTATAGATAAATCAAGAAAAATCTTCATAATTATCATATAATTTATTATATTTTTTAACATTATTAATTTTTCACAACTGAAAATCTAAATTCTTAATTATCTTGAAATTATAGTTAACAACATTCTTTTGATCTTTAAGAAAAGATATTTGTTTAATTAAAATATTTATAGTTTTTTAAGACTATTTTGAAGATTGTTATAAATTAGTTATAAAGAATTTTCACAATTATTATATAATCTATTATATTTTTTAATATTATTAGTGTTTTATATCTGGAGATCAAAATTCTTGATTATTTTGAAATTCTAATTAACAATATATTTTTAGTCTTTAAGAAAAGATATTATTTAATTAAAATATCTATAATTTATTAAAACTATTTTAAAGATTATTATAGATTAATTAAAAAAAATCTTTATAATTATCATATAATTTATTATAGACCTGTGGGTCTATAGCACAGTGGTAGTGCTCCCAGGTCACAATCACAAGGTCCATAGTTCAATACTACATGAGGGCCATGTGAAAGATTTAAGGAATGGAAAAATTGTCTATAATTCAAAACACAACCAGATTTAAGAAAACACCAATCATCTCCATTCCGGTTTCATACAAACAGGGTTTTCTCACTTCCGGTTCTAAGTGATTTTTTCTCCCTATAAAAGACACAATCTACATGGCTGAACACAACAAATCTGGGAAAGGTACCAAAACCGGCAACAGCGCCATGTCCATCAGAACTATTTAAAAGGTGTACTTCTTCTTTCACGGAACTAGCAAGTCAAGTCTGGCAAATTAGTTGGAGAGGAATCCGGAAGGATTAAAGATCCAAAAATAGGGGTGTCTAGGTTTCCTAGATAGGTAGTAGTAGAAATTTAATCTGACCAGATATTTCTGAGCAACAAGTCATCTGGTGGATCCTTTAAAAGTAGGGTTCTAGGAATGTTTATTAATATAAATGATATAAATATGTATTCCTTGCAAATTAAATTTGTAAATTACTATATCAAGTTAATAAATGAAACTGAGCTTTCGTTCCAACATATAATTTATTATATTTTTTTATATTATTAATATTTTTTTAAAGATTAACAAAAATTCAATTTATTGAATTTTATAGTTATCCTTCTTTATAAAAAATAAAAAAATATATAGAAAAATTATATTTTACATATATACCAATAATTATATTACTTATAATAAATCTATTTTTCAATTCTTAAAATATTAACTTTATATGATATATTAATAAAAAAAAATATCACTGCTTCCTTACATTATATTTAAATTATTTTATCAAATAATTATATTATATTTAATATTATAAATTCAAATTTCTTTCAGTATTTTGTCTTATTAAGTATTTTTTTATATTATCTATTACAATATACCTATAGAATATTTAAAAAAAGTCTTAAATATTATCTTATTCCACTAAACTATTTTTTTTTACATAACTTATTACAATTTGCTTATAGAATAATTATATAAGATCTTGGATAGATTTACTTATTTTTAGTAATGACTTCCCTTTTAACTAATATACCTAGATACTATTGAATCTTTGATTCTATTATATAAATCTTCAATCTATTTGTAGAAGCTTAAGAAAACTTTGTCAAAAGGTAAGATAATTTTAATATTAAAATTAATCAAAATATTTTGTGATTTTTAAATATCATATAATTAAATAAAATTTTGATTATTGCTAACTAGATCTTTATTATAAAATAGAGGAAATTTTTTAAATAATATTATTTCACAATAATATCACTAGTCAAAAAAAAATTATTCAGCATACTGCCACTCGTGTAACATTTGGCAAAAAATACTACTACTCATGTAACATTCAGCAAAAAATAAACAATTTAACAAAAAAAAATGACATAAATAAATCGGCATCTACAAAAATTAACAATCAAAACTATTCATTAAAAATTCATCAAAAATTCATCAACTATTCATCCACTATT